AGTGGTGGGAGGCAGCAGAGGTGGTGGAAGGACAGGAAGGAGTGGCAGTAGGCAGGGAGGAGTGGTGGAGGCAGAAGGCGTGGTGGAAGGACAGGGAAGGAGTGGCAGGAGGCGGGAGGAGTGGTGGGAGCAAGGAAGGAGTGGTGGGAGGCAGGAAGTGGTGGGAGACAGCAAGATGTGGTGGGAGGCGGGGAGGAGTGATGGGAGGAGTGGTGGGAGGCAGGTAGGAGTGGTGGGAGGACAGGTGGGAGTGGCAGGAGGCAGGAAAAGAGTGGTGGGAGCAAGGAAAGTGGTGAAGGACAGGAGGAGTGGTGGGAGGACAGGAAGGAGTGGCAGGAGGCAGGGAGGAGTGATGGGAGGAGTGGTTGGGAACCAAAAGAGGTGGTGGGAGGCAGGAGAAGTGGTGGGAGACAGCAGAGGGGAGGCAGGTAGGAGTGGTGGGGAGGCAGCAGGAGTGGTGGGAGGTGGTGGGAGGCAGGTAGGAGGAGTGGTGGGAGGCAGGTAGGAGTGGTGGGAGGACAGGTGGGAGTGGCAGGAGGCAGGAAAGAGTGGTGGGAGCAAGGAAGAGGTGGTGAGAGGACAGGGAGGAGTGGTGGGAGGACAGGAAGGAGTGGCAGGAGGCAGGGAGGAGTGATGGGAGGTGGTGGGAACCAAAAGGAGTGGGTGGGAGGCAGGGAGAAGTGGTGGGAGACAGCAAGGGTGGTGGGAGAGTGGTCAGGATGCAGCAAGGGTGTGGTGGGAGGAGTGGTGGGAGGCAGTTGGGAGTGGTGGGAGGACAGGTGGGAGTGGCAGGAGGCAGAAAGAGTGGTGGGAGCAAGGAAGAGGGAGTGGTGAGAGGACAGGAGGAGTGGTGGGAGGACAGGTAGGAGTGCAGGAGGCAGGAAAGAGTGGTGGGAGCAAGGAAAGAGGTGTGAGAGGACAGGGAGGAGTGGTGGGAGGACGGAAGGAGTGACAGGAGGCAGGGGAGGAGTAGTGGGAGCAAGGAAGGAGTTGTGAGAGGACAGGGAGGGAGTGGTGGAAGGACAGGAAGGAGTGGCAGGAGGCAGGGAGGAGTGGGGAGGCAGGGAGGAGTGGTGGGAGCAAGGAAGGAGTGGTGAGGCAGGGAGGAGTCGTAAGATGCAGGGAGGAGAGGTGTGAGGCAGCAGAGTGGTGGGAGGGTGGTGCGAGGCAGGAAGGAGGTGATGGGAGGACAGGAAGGAGTGATGGGAGACCGGGAGGAGTGGTGGGAGACAGGGAGGTGTGGTAGGAGGCAGGAAGGAGTGGTGGGAGGACGGTGGGAGTGGCAGGAGGCAGGGGAGGAGTGGTGGGAGCAAGGAAGGGTGGTGGGAGACAGAGAGGAGTGTTGGGAGGACAGGAAGGAGGTGGTGGGAGGACAGGAAGGAGTGATGGGAGACAGGGAAAGTGATGGGAGACAGGGAGGTGGTGGGAGGACAGGAAGGAGAATGGGAGACAGGAAGGAGTGGGAGGACAGGAAGGAGTGATGGGGAGACAGGGAGAGGAGTGGTGGTGGGGAGGACAGGAAGGAGTTGTGGGAGGACAGGAAGGAGTGATGGGAGACAGGAAGGAGTGGTGGGAGGATAGGAAGGAGTGATGAGGGCAAGGGAGGAGTGGTGGGAGGACAGGAAGGAGTGATGGGAGACAGGGAGGAGTTGTGGGAGGACGGGAAGGAGTGATGGGAGACAGGGAGGAGTGGTGGGAGGATAGGAAGGAGTGATGAGACAGGGAGGTGGTGGGAGGACAGGAAGGGGATGGGAGACAGGGAGAGTGGTGGGAGGACAGGAAGGAGTGATGGGAGGACAGGAAGGAGTGATGGGAGACAGGGAGGAGTGGTGGGAGACAGGAAGGAGTGATGGGGAGACAGGGAGGAGGATGTGGAGAGGACAGGGTGATGAGGGAGCAGGGAGGAGTTGTGGGAGACAGGGAAAGTGTGCTGGGAGGCAGGAAGGTGGTGGGAGGACGGGAAGGAGTGATGGGGACAGGGAGGAGTTGTGGGAGGACAGGAAGGAGTAATGGGAGACAGGAAGGAGTGGTGGGAGGACGGGAAGGAGTGATGGGAGACAGAGGGAGGAGTGGTGGAGAACAGGAAGGTGATGGGGACAGGGAGGAGTGGTGGGAGGACGGGAAGGAGTGGGGAGACAGGAAGGAGTGGTGGGAGGACAGGAAGGAGTGATGGGAGACAGGGAGGAGTGGTGGGAGGACAGGAAGGAGTAATGGGGAGCAGGAAGGAGTGGTGGGAGGACAGGAAGGAGTGATGGGAGACAGGGAGGAGTGGTGGGAGGACAGGAAGAGGATGGGAGACAGGGAGGAGTGGTGGGAGGACAGGGAAGGAGTTGTGGGAGGACGGGAAGGAGTGATGGGAGACAGGGAGGAGTGGTGGGAGGAGACAGGGAAGAGGTGATGGGAGCAGGGAGGAGTGGTGGGAGGACAGGAAGAAGGAGTGATGGGAGACAGGGAGGAGGAGTGGTGAGGAGGACAGGAAGGAGTGATGGGAGACAGGGAGGAGGAGTGGTGGGAGGATGGGAAGGAGTAATGGGAGACAGGGAGGTGGTGGGAGGACAGAAGGAGTGATGGGGAGACAGGGAGGAGGTGGTGGGAGGACAGGAAGGAGTTGTGGGAGGACGGGAAGGAGTGATGGGAGACAGAAGGAAAGGAGTGGTGGGAGGACAGGAAGGAGGATGGGAGACAGGAGGAGTGGTGGAGGACAGGAAGGAGTGATGGGAGACAGGAGGAGTGGTGGGAGGACAGGAAGGAGTGGTGGGAGGACAGGAAGGAGTGATGAGAGACAGGAGGAGTGATGGGAGACAGGGAGGAGTGGTGGGAGGACAGGAAGGAGGATGGGAGACAGGAAGGAGTGGTGGAGGACAGAAGGAGTGATGGGAGACAGGAAGGAGTGGTGGGAGGACAGGAAGGAGTAATGGGAGACAGGAAGGAGGGTGGGGAGGACAGGAAGGAGTGATGGGAGACAGGGAGGAGTGTGGAGGACAGGAAGGAGCTGTGGGAGGCAGGCTGGAGTTGTGGAGAGACAGGGAGGAGTGGGAGGACAGGGAAGGAGTGTGGGAGGACAGGAAGGAGTGATGAGAGACAGGGGAGTGGTGGGAGGACAGGAAGGAGTGGATGGGAGACAGGGGAGGTGGGAGGACAGGAAGGAGTGGTGGGAGACAGGAAGGAATGATGAGAGACAGGAGGAGGATGGGAGACAGGAGAGTGGTGGGAGACAGGAAGGAGTGGTGGGAGGACAGGAAGGAATGATGAGAGACAGGGAGGAGTGGATGGGAGACAGGAGGAGTGGTGGGAGACAGGAAGGAGTGATGGGAGACAGGAAGGAGTGGTGGGAGGACAGGAAGGAATGATGAGAGACAGGGAGGAGTGATGGGAGACAGGAAGGAGTGGTGGGAGGACAGGAAGGAGTGATGAGAGACAGGGAGGAGTGATGGGAGACAGGGAGGAGTGGTGGGAGGACAGGAAGGAGTGATGGGAGACAGGGAGGAGTGGTGTGAGACAGGGAAGTGTGCTGGGAGAGAGGAAGGAGTGGTGGGAGGACAGGAATGAGTGGTGGGAGGACAGGGAGGTGTGATGGGATGGTGATATATTTTACACTGACATACGAAGAATATGTTGAGTTCTTCCCTGACCAATGGTTCGACAGTTAGATGATGTCACGTTTTGAGGGTGAGAGAAACCCCCAACGTGGACTCACTCAACGTTATTGGTTGATATGGTTAAAACCTAGAGAAGTGAGACACTCGTTAATTACTGATTACATCCAATTACATTTATACATTATACGTCAGTTAGTAAATACATTATTCTGTATAGTTATTATCCAAATTGCCTTACACTATGCACGTATGTAGTTCCCAAGATTTCACCATAATACAAACAAACACTGTGTTCTTTCACTCACGTGTGCGGGCTTATATCTCCATTTAACTCCAAGTATAGCTTCAAGTAACTCCTGGTTATAGCTAGTGTGTGGACACTCTAGTGAGGTTGGACGATACTGTGTGCCAATGGTGTTCCGAGCCCCTATCTGTGGTAATAACAACGAAAGGATTGTTCTATGGCTGTGCCGTCTACAAACATCTGGCGAGGTCACAGGTCGCGCAGCCACTTGGGAGTCATAGGTCGCAGCGTACGAGGGCGGTGATATCACCCTCCTTAATCTGCATGATTCCAGTAACAGCCATGGTGAGTGTGTACAAGACCAACACTTCACTAAAAACATTGTTTAAACTTAAATTTATTAATTTCTCTGCTTCAGACACCCAGGTCTACCTAATTGGGAGATAATGAACAACAATATCTTCTACACCAAATCTTCCTCAGCACAATAGTTGCGGTGGGTAAGTAAACAAATTAAACCTGAGGAGGGGCTTCAACACAAGACACGACTGACACATAATAAAAGGACGTCCCCAGAAAAGCTCCCAGAGACGGCGTGGCCCCCTGGGGGCTTCCCAGGGACGACGGCGCCCCCAGGGGTCCTCCCAAGGGTAGTGGCGTCCCCAGGGGTCTCCCAGGAACGACAGTGCCCCCAGGAGCCATCCCAGCTCCGAAGGTGCCAAGAGGGGCACTCTAAGAAACGGCGGCACCCCCAGGGGCCCTCCCAAGGTCAGCCTCCCGGGGCTGTGGCGACCCCAGGGACACTCCCAACGGTGGCGGCGCCCCCAATGACCCTCTCAGGGGCGGTGGCGTCCCCAGGGAAGCTGCCAGGGGCGGCGGCGCCCCCAGCGACCCTCCTAGGGGTGTCGGCGTATCCAGGGATCCTCCCAGAGTTGTCGGCACACCCAGGAGCGACAGCGCCCCCAAAGATTCACCCAGGGGCTGTGGCGCATCCAGGGACCCTCCCAGGGGCGGCGGCGCCCCCAGAGACCGCTGCGCACCCAGGGACCCTCCCAAAGGTGGTGGCGTTCCCGGAATCCTACTCAGGGGCAGCAACGCCCCCAGGAACCCCCCCAGGGGCGACAGCGCCCCAAGGGACCTTCTCAGAGGCGGCAAAGCCTCCAGAAATCCTCCCAGAGATGGCTGCGCCCCCCGGGGGCTTTCCAGGGGCGATGGTGACCTCAGGGGTCCTCCCAGCGGCGGGAACGTCCCCAGGGTCTCTTGCAGGGGGGTGGCGCCCCCAGGGGTCTTCTCAGGGGTGGTGGCGCCCCCAGGGGCCCTCCTATGGGCAACGGCGCCACTAAGGACCCTTGCAGGGGTGATTGCCTTCCCAGGGACCCCCCAGGGACGGCGGTACCCCCACGGGCTCTCTTAGGGGCAACGGCGCCCCCAGGGGTTCTCTCAGGGGTGGAGCCGACCTCAGGGAACCTTTCAGGATTAGCGGGGGTCCCCAGGGATCCTCCCAGGGGCGGGGGTGCCTCCTGGACTCTCCCAGGGGCGGTGGCGCTCCCAGAGACTCTCCCAAGGGCGGCTACACCCCCAGCGACCCAACCATGGGCGGCGTCGCCCCCTGGACCATCCCAGAGGCTGCGCCCTCCCTGCAGGGACCCTACCAAGGGTCAACAGTGGTCCCTATTGCATGCTTATTCTTCATGTCACATATATATTACATGCTTCCAGCAATACCTTAATGAACTATGATTGGTGGACTATTCTTCAACCCACCAAATTACAGCCAATAGGAGAAGAGAGCAGTCAGTCAGCACAACACCACGACTTATGTTTTCCTGTTGGATAATACTCCTCGTTACCTTCTTCAGAATGCGATGATATTGTACAGTAAATGTGATGTGCGGTGTATCTATTTAATGTTGCATACCCTAGAGTTCTAAATAGCGCAGAAACTACTGTACCTAGGGGCCTTACCACTCTGGCACTCCCAGGGGCCTTCCTAGGGTCGGCGGCGCCCCCAAAGGCGACAGTGCCCCCAGTGACACTCCCAGTGGAGCCGAGGCCCACAGAGACCCTTCCAGGGGCGTCGGGGCACCCTGGAACCCTCCCAGGGACTCTCCCAGGAAAGGGGGCGCCCCCAGGATCCCTCCCAGGGACACCGGTGCCCCTAGGGACGCTCACAGGGACGGCGGAACCGTCCAGGGACCATATCATAGGCAGCGACGAACCCAGGGACCTCCCTAGGGAGTCGGGGCACCCAGGGACTCTTCCCGAGGCGGCGGCGCTCCCAGGGATCCTCCCATGAGCGGCGGCGCCTTTAGGGACCCTTGCAAAGGCAGCGGTGCCCTCAAGGGTTCTGTCAGGGTCGGTGGCGCCCTCAGAGGTTCTTTCAGGGGTGGTTTCGCCCCCAAGGACCCTTTCAAGAGGTGGCGGGGCCCCCAGGGACCCTCCCAGGGGTAGCATCGCACCACAAACCCACGCAGCGGTAGTGGCTTTTCCAGGGATGTTTCCAGGAGTATCGTTGCACCCAGGACACTCCTTCCAGGGGCAGTGGACACCCCAGGGATCCTCCCAGGGGCAGTGGAGACCACAGGGATCGTCCCAGGGGCAGCGGAGACCCCTGGGATACCCCCAGGGACGATGACGTCTTCAGGGACCCATTTAGGGTCCCTCCCAGGGTCGGCGGCGCCACCACGGACCCTCCCAGGGGCGTCGGTAAGCCCACGGACCATCCCAGGGGTGGCCACGCCCCCAGAGATCCCCCAGCTGCGGCGGCTCCTCCAGAGGCCTTCTAAGAGACCCTAGCAGGGATGGAGGAACCCCCAGGGACCCTCCAAGTAGCAGTGGAGCCCCCAGGGATCTTCCTAGAGGTAGCAGCGCCCCAAGGGAAGCTCCTAGGGACAGCGGCACCTGCGAAGACTCTCGCAAGGGCGGGGGCGCCTCTAGGGACCCTTCCAAGAGCAGCGGCAACACCAGGGACCCACCCATAGGCGGCGGTGCCCCCTGGACCACCCCAGGGGCTGCGCCCCCTCTTCACGAACCCTACCAAGGGTCACCAGTGGTCCCTATTGCATGCTTATTCTTCATGTCACATATATATTACATGCTTCCAGCAATACCTTAATGAACTATGATTGGTGGACTTTTCTTCAACCCACCAAATTAGAGCCAATAGGAGCAGAGAGCAGTCAGTCAGCAGAACACCACAACTTATGTTTTCCTGTTGGATATTATTATCCTTTACCTTCTTCAGAATGCAATGATACTAGAAATATGATGGGCGGTGTATTTATTTAATGTTGCATCCCCAGAGTTCTAAATAGCGCAAAAACTACTGCACCCAGGGGCCCTACAGATCTGGCGTTCCCAGGAGCCCTCCTAGGGTCAGTGGCACCCCGAAAAGCTCCATTGCCCCCAGGGACCCTTCAAGGGGTGGCGGGTGGCGGGGCCCCAGGGACCCTTCAAGGAAGTGGCGAGGTCCTCAGGGACCCTCCCAGGGGCGCTGACGCCTTCTGGGACCCTCCCAGAGTCGGCAGCGCTCCCAGGGGCTCTGTCAGGGTCGCCGGCATCCCCAGGAGACGTCCCAAGGGTGGTGGTGCCCAGAGGGGCTCTCCTATGGGCGGAAACGCCCCAAGGACCCTCAAAGGGCCGGCGGCGTCCACAGAGCCCTCCCAAGGGCAGCAGTGCCCGCAGGGGCTCAGTCAGGTTTGGTGGCACCCTCATGGTTCTCTCAGGGGAGGCGGGGCTCCCAGGGAACAACGCAGGGGTAGTGGCGTCCACAGGTACCCTTCCGGGGCGATGTTGCACCCAGGGACCCTCACAAGGGCATTTGAGCCGCCAGGGACCCTCCTAGGGGCGGCAGCGCACCCAGGGATCTTCCCAGCTGCGGCGGTCCCTTCAGGGGCCCTTGAAGGGACCCTCACACTAGCGGAGACGCCCCCAGGGACCTTCACAGGAGCGGTGGAGCCCCCAGGGACCCTCCTAGGGGTAGCAGCCCCCCAAGGTATATTCCTACAGACAGCGGCGCCCTCGAAGACTCATGCAGGGGTGGCGGTGCCCCCAAGGACCAAAGGTGGCAGCACCACCATGGACCTACTCAGGGGCGGCGCCTCCCCCTGGACCATCCCAGGGACTACACAACCCCTTGAGGGACCACACCAAGCGTTCCCAGGGACAAACCAAGGGTCCTCAGGGGCCCCAATTGCATGCTTATTCGTTATGTCACATATATACTACATGCAATCTCTTAATGAACTATGATTGGTGGACTATTCTTCAACCCACTAAATTACAGCCAATAGGAGAAGAGAGCAGTCAGTCAGCACAACACCACAACTTATGTTTTCCTGTTGGATATTATTCTCCTTTACCTTCTTCAGAATGCAATGATACTGGAAATGTGATGGGCGGTGTATCTATTTAAAGTTGCCTCTCCCCGAGTTTTAAATAGCGCAAAAATTACTGCACCCAGTGGCCCTACAGGTTTGGCGCTCCCAGGGGCCCACCTAGGGTCGGCGACACCCACAAAGGCGGCAGTGTTCCCAGGGACCCTCCCAGGGGATCCGACGCCTCCAAGGACCCTTCCAGGGGTGGTGGGATCTCTAGGGACCATAGCAGGGGCGCTGACGCCTCCTGGGACCCTCCCAGCGATGGAGGCGTCTCCATGGGCTCTGTCAGGATCGCTGATGCCCCCAGGATCCCTTTCCGAGACGGCGGAGCCCACAAAGACCCTCCCGGGGGTGTCGGTGCCACCAGGGACCATCCCAAAGGTGTCGGGAAATTCAGGCACCCTCCCAGGGGCGACAACGCCCCCAGGGAGCCTCTCAGCTGCGGTGGCTCCTCCAGGGACCTTTCAAGAGACCATTCCAGGGGCGGAAGCGTACCCAGGGCAATCCCAGGGAGACGGATCCCCTAGGGACACTTCCATAGGTATCCACGAGCAGAGAGATGCTCCCAGGGACAGCGGCGCCCTCAAAGATTCTCGTAGGGGCGGTGGCGCCTCCAGGGACCCTCCCAAGGGCGGTGGCACCCCCAGGGACCCACCCAGGGGCCGCGGCGCCCCCTGGACCATTAAAGGGGTTGCGCCCTTCCTTCAGAGACCCTACCGAGGGTCCGCAGGGGCCCCTACTGCATGCTTATTCTTTATATCACATATGTATATTACATACTTGCTGCAGTCCCTTACTGAACTATGATTGGTGGACTATTCTTTGACCCACCAAATTACAGCCAATAGGAGAATAGAGCAGACAGTCAGCATAACACCACAACTTATGTTTTCCTGTTGGATATTATTCTCCTTTACCTTCTTCAGAATGCAATGATACTGGAAATGTGATGGGTGGTGTATCTATTTAACGTTGCAGCTCCCAGAGTTTTAAATAGCGCAAAAAATACTGCACCCAGGGGCTCTACAGGTCTCACAATCCCACGGGCTCTCCTAGGTCCCACCCAGAGACCCTCCTAGGGGGCCCAACGCCTCCAGGGACTCTTCGAGGGCTGACGGGACCCCCAAGGACCCTCGCAGAGGCCCTGACACTTTGTGGGACCCTCCCAGCGGTGGTTTCGCCCCCAGCGACACTTCCATGGATGGCGGGCCCCCTGAGAACCCTCCCAAGGGTGGCAGCACCCCCAGGTACTCTCACAAGAGTAGTGGCGGTCGCAGGAGCCTTCCCAGTGGCAGTGGCGTCCCCAGGAACCCTCTCAGAGGGGTCAGGGCACCCAGGGACCCTCCCAGAGGCAGCGGTGCCCACAGGGATCCTCCCAGGGGCGGCGACGCCTCCAGGGACCCTCCCAAGGGCGACGGAACTCCCAGAGACTCTCTCAGAGTACGTGGTGCCCCCAGGGATTCTCTCAGGGGTGGTTTTGACCCAAGAGATGCTCCCAGCTGCGGTGGCCCATCCAGGGGCCCTTGAAGGGACCCTCACACTAGCGGAGACGCCCGCAGGGACCATCCCCGGAGCGGTGGAGCCCCCAGGGACCCTCCTAGGGGTAGCAGCACCCAAAGGTATACTCCTACGGACAGCGGCGCCCTCGAAGACTCACTCAGGGGTGGCGGTGTCCCCAAGGACCCTCCCACAGGTGGCGGCACCACCATAGACCTACTCAGGGGCGGTGGCTCCCCCTGGACCATCCCAGGGAGTACACATCCCATTCAGGAACCACACCAAGCGTCCCCAGGGACCCCACCAAGGGTTCCCAGGGGCCCCTATTGCATGCTTATTCGTTATGTCACATATATATTACATGCTTCCAGCAATCTCGTAATGAACTATGATTGGTGGACTATTCTTCAACCCACGAAATTACAGCCAATAGGAGAAGAGAGCAGTCAGTCAGCACAACACCACGACTTATGTTTTCCTGTTGGTTATTATTCTCCTTTACCTTCTTCAGAATGCAATGATACTGGAAATGTGATGGGCGGTGTATCTATTTAACGTTGCATCTCAAAAGTTTTAAATAGCTCAAAAACTACTGCACCCAGTGGCCCTACAGGTCTGGCGCTCCCAGGGGCCCACCTAGGGTCGGCGACACCTACAAATGCGGCAGTGTTCCCAGGGACCCTCCCAGGGGAGCCGACGCCTCCAAGGACCCTTCCAGGGGTGGTGGGATCTCCAGGGACCAAAGCAGGGGCGTTGACGCCTCCTGGGACCCTCCCAGTAATGGAGACGTCTCCTGGGGGCTCTGTCAGGATCGCTGAAGCCCCCAGGATCCCTTTCTGAGACGCCGGAGCCCACAAAGACCCTCCCAGGGGTGGCGGTGCCACCAGGGAACCTCCCAAGGGTGTCGGGAAATCCAGGCACCCTCACAGGGACGACAACGCCCCCAGGGAGCCTACCACATGCGGAGGCTCCTTCAGGGACCCTTCAAGGGATCATTCCAGGGGCGGAGGCGTACCCAGGGCCCTCCCTGGTCGATGGATCCCCTAGGGGCCTTTCTAGAGGTAGCCGCGCGCCAAAGGGTGATCCCAGGGACAGCGGTGCCCTCAAAGACTCTCGTAGGGGCGGCGGCGCCCTCAAAGACTCTCGTAGCGGTCGCGGCGCCTCCAGGGACCGTTCCAAGGGCGGCGCACCATCAGGGACCAACCCAGGGGCCGCGGCGCCCCCTGGACCATCAAAGGGGTTGCGCCCTCCCTTCAGAGACCCTACCAAGGGTCCGCAGGGGCCCCTATTGCATGCTTATTCTTTATGTCACATATATATGTATATATATATATATATATATATATATATATATATATATATATATATATATATATATATATATATATATATATATATATATATATATTACATACTTGCTGCAGTCCCTTACTGAACTATGATTTGTGGACTATTCCTTGACCCATCAAATTACAGCCAATAGGAGAAAAGAGCAGACTGTCAGCATAACACCACAACTTATGTTTTCCTGTTGGATATTATTATACATTACCTTCTTCAGAATGCAATGATACTGGAAATGTGATGGGTGGTGTATCTATTTAACGTTGCAGCTCCCAGAGTATTAAATAGCGCAAAAACTACTGCACCCAGGGGCCCTACAGGTCTAACAATCCCAGGGGCTCTCCTAGGTCCCACCCAGGGACCCTCCTAGGGAGCCCAACGCCTCCAGGGACTCATCGAGGGGTGACAGGACCCCCAGGGACCCTCGCAGAGGCCCTGACACTTTGTGGGACCCTCCCAGAGGTGGTTTTTACCCCCAGCGACCCTTCCATGGTTGGCGGGCCCCCTGAGAACCCCCTCAATGGTGGCACCACCCCCAGGGACCCTCGCAAGAGTAATGGCGGTCGCAGGAGCCCTCCCAGTGGCAGTGGCGTCCCCAGGAACCCTCCCAGAGGCGTCAGGGCACCCAGGGACCCTCCCAGAGGCAGCGGTGACCACAGGGATCCTCCCAGGGGCGGCGACGCCTCCAGGGACCCTCCCAAGGGCGACGGAACTCTCAGAGACTCTCTCAGAGTACGTGGTGCCCCCAGGGATTGTCTCAGGGGTTATTTTTCCTCAAGGGATCCTCCCAGGTGAGGCGGCGCCTCTTTTGATCCTCCAAGGGACCATCCTAGGAGCGGAGGCGCCCCCAGGGACCCTCCGAGAAGCAGCAGAGACCCTAGGGACCCTCCCAGGGGCGGTGGCTCCCCCAGGGCTCTTCTCATTTGCGGCGACGCTTCCAGGGACCCTCCAAAGGACCCTCCCACGAGTGGAGGCGCCCCTCGGGACCCTCCCTGGAGCAGCAGAGCCCTCAGGGACCCTAGAGGTAGCAGCATCCTAAGGGTCACTCCCAGAGACAGCGGCGCCCCCAAAGACTCTCGCTGGGGCGGCGGCGCCCCCAGGGACCCTCCCAAGGGCGGTGGCACCGCTAGGGACCTACCCAGGGGATGCGACGTCCCGTGGACCATCTCAGGGGCTGTGCACCCCCTTCTGGCACCCTACCAAGGGTCCACAGGGGCTCCTATTGCAAGCTTATTCGTTGTGTTACATATGTATTACATACTTCCAGAAATCTCTTAATGATCTATGATTGGTGGACTATTCTTCAACCCACCAAATTACAGCCAATAGGAGAAGAGAGCAGTCAGTCAGCAGAACACCACGACTTATGTTTTCCTGTTGGATATTATTCTCCTTTACCTTCTTGAGAATGCAATTATATTGGAAATGTGTTGGGCTGGGCGGTGTATCTATTTAACGTTGCATCTTCCAGAATTTTAAATAGCGCAAAAACTACTGCACCCAGGGCCCTCCTAGGGTCAGTGGCATTCCGAAATTTGCCTTTGCCCCAAGGGACCCTTTCTGGGGAGCTGACGTCTCCAGGGACCCTTGAAGGGGTGGCGGGGTCCCAGGGAAGCTTCAAGGAAGTGGCGGGGCACCCAGGGACCCTCCTAGGGGCGCTGACGCCTTTTGGGACCTTCCCAGAATTGGCGGCGCTCCCAGGGAATCTGTCAGGGTCGCCGGCATCCCCAACGAAACCTCCCGAGGGTGGTGTTGCCCATAGGAGCTCTCCTATGGGCGGCAGCGCCCCAAGGACCTTCACAGAGCCTGTGGCGGCGAGAGAGCCCTCCCAAGGGCAGCGGTGCCCGCAGGCGCTCTGTCAGGTTTGGTGGCACCCTCATGCGTTCTCTCAGGGGTGCTGGGGCTCCCAGGGACCCTCCCAGGGGTAATGCGCCCCCAGGGAACATTGCAGGGATAGTGGCGTCCACATGTACCCTTCCAAGGGCGTTGTTACCGAGAGACCCTTCCAAGGGCGTTGTTACCGAGAGACCCTTCCAAGGGCATTTGAGCCTCCAAGGACCTTCCTAAGGGCGGTAGCGTCACCACGGACCCTCCCAGGGGCGTCGGTGAACCAAGGGACCCTCCCAGGAACGGTGGAGCCCCCAGGGACCCTCCTAGGGGTAGCAGCACCCCAAGGTATATTCCTACGGACAGTGGCACCGTCGAAGACTCACGCAGGGGTGGCGGTGCCCCCAAGGACCCTCCCAAAGGTGGCGGCACCACCATGGACTTACTCAGGGGCGGCGGCTCCCCCTGGACCATCCCAGGGACTACACACCCCCTTCAGGGACCACACCAAGCATCGTCAGGGACCCCACCAGGGGTCCCCAGGGGCCCCTATTGCATACTTATTCGTTATGTCACATATATATTACATGCTTCCAGCAATCTCTTAATGAACTATGATTGGTGAACTATTCTTCAACCCACCAAACGACAGCCAATAGGAGAAGAGAGCAGTCAATCAGCACAACACCACAACTTATGTTTTCCTGTTGGATATTATTCTCCTTTACCTTCTTCAGAATGCAATGATACTAGAAATATGATGGGTGGTGTATTTATTTAATGTTGCAGCTCCCAGAGTATTAAATAGCGCAAAAATTACTGCACCCAGTGGCCCTACAGGTATGGCGCTCCCAGGGACCCTCCTAGGGTCGGCGTCACCCACAAAGGCGGCAGTGTTCCCAGGGACCCTCCCAGGGGAGCCGACGCATCCAAGGACCCTTCCAGGGGTGGTGGGATCTCAAGGGACCATAGTAGGGGCGCTGACGCCTCCTGGGACCCTCTTAGCGATGGAGGCTTCTCCAGGGGCTCTGTCAGGATCGCTGAAGCCCCTAGGATCTTTTTCCGAGATGCCAGAGCCCCCAAAGACCCTCCCAGGGGTGGCGGTGCCACCAGGGACCCTCCCAAGGGTGTCGGGAAATCCAGGCACCCTCCAAGTTGCGACAACGCCCCCAGGGAGCCTCTCAGCTGCGGAGGCTCCTTCAAGGACCCTTCAAGGGATCATTCCAGGGACGGAGGCGTACCCAGGGGCTTCCCAGGGCGACGGATCCTTTAGGGGCTCTTCTAGAGGTAGCCGAGCGCCAAGGGATGATTCCAGGGACAGCGGCGCCCTCAAAGTCTCTTAGGGGTGGCGGCGCCTCCAGGGACCCTCCCAAGGAGGCGGTATCCCCAGGGACCAACCTAGGGGTCACGGAGCCCCCTGGACCATCAAAGGGGTTGCGCCCTCCCTTCATAGACCCATCCAAGGGTCAGCAGGGGCCCCTATTGCATGCTTATTCTCCATTTCACATATATATATATATATATTACATACTTGCTGCAGTCCCTTACTGAACTATGATTGGTGGACTATTCCTTGACCCATCAAATTACAGCCAATAGGAGAAGAGAGCAGTCAGTCAGCATAACACCACAACTTATGTTTTCCTCTTGGATATTATTATCCTTTACCTTCTTCAGAATGCAATGATACTGGAAATGTGATGGGTGGTGTATCGTTGCATCTCTCAGAGTTCTAAATAGCGCAAATTATACTGCACCCAGGGACCCTACCACTGTGATACTTCCAGGGGCCCTCCTAGGATCGGCTGCGCCCCCAGGGACCCTCCCAGGGGCGCTGAATCTTCCAGAGACCCTTTCAATGCCAGCGGCGCAGACCCCAGCACCCTCACAGGGGCTCTCCCCGCTCCGGCTGCACCCCAAGGGGCCCTCTGAAAGGAGTCTGCATCCTAGGGCACTGTTATGGATGGTGGCATCTCCAGCGGCACTCCCAGGGTCTGTGGCTCTGACATGGAACCTCCCAGGGGTGGTTGCGCCACCAGGTACCATCCCAGGGGCGGCGAAGTCCCCAGGGACTGTCCCGGGGATGGCGGTGCTTCCAGTGACCCTCTCAGGAGCAGCGACGTCCCCAGGGACCCTCCCAGCGGCGACAGTGCCTCCAGGGGTTCTCTCAGGAGTGCCGGCATCTTCAAGGGTCCTCCCTGGGTTGGTGGCGCTCCCAGAGGCCATCGTGTGGGCGGCGTCGACCCCCACGGACCCTCCCAGGGGCGGTAGCGTACCCAGGGACCCTCCCAGTGGCGGTGATGCCACCTGTGGTTCTCTTAGGGGTGCTGGCGGCCCAGGGACCCTCTCAGGGGTGGCAGGACTCACAGGGATCCTCCCGCGGCCGTTGGCGCCCCCAGGGACCCTCCTAGTGGCGGTGGCGCCACCAGGGACCCTTCTAGTGGCGGTGGCGCCCCTAAGCGCCCTCTCAAATGCGGCTGCACCTCCAGGGGCCCTTCCGTGGTTGGTGGGGCCACCAGGGGCCCTCCCATGGGTGGTGACGCCCCCTGGGGCTCTCCCAGGGGTGGTGGCGTTCGCAGGGTCCCACTCACGGACGGAAGCGCCCCCAGGGGCCCTCCCACGGGTGGTGGCGCCACCAGGGCCCACTCAGGGGCGGCTGCACCTCCAGGGATACTCCTAGAAGCGGTCGCCCCTCCAGCAACATTCCCACGGACAGTGGCACCCCCAGGGCCTCTCCTAGTGACAGCAGCGCCCCGAGGACCCTCCCAGGGGCGCGATTCCCCCAGAGACTCTCCCAGGGACGGCAGCGCCTCCCAGGGACCCTCCTATGGACGGGGAGTGTGTCCTGGCCTCCTCTCCCAACACACTGAACCAGCAGACCGAGCTAATATTGTTGCCAATGTCATGCCGGTGTAACAGCGAGTTTGTTATGATAATTAATTGATAGGACTCAAAGTTCGACTCCTGATTTGGGACATTCCTTTGTAACCAGTTGGTTAGAGAGATCATACACTATTTCATAGTGTATGATCTTGATTCACAATACTTAACCTCTGGCTGCTTGACACAGGGAATAGTTTCCAATCTTTCAAGCATTTATTTAACATTATAATCAATTTAACCCGGATACTAGGATTATAGTTTTACTTAAGGCTTTAGATTTATTTTAAATTATACAGTTATGAAGCAATAAACAATCAAACGAAGACTACTGAAACAAGAACGAACTTGGACTGCCCAAATAGCCCTTTACCTCGTTCTCTTAACCATGTGATCTAATGACAGAATTAAGACAAAACTTTTCCTTTTTATTCTTACTCCTGTTAAAGAAAGTCAATATACTGTACGGTAATGGCACACTAAATGAAATACAAGACGAAGGGTTAATCAGTAGCTGCCACAATCTTGAACGATCCAAAACTTTTGAGTGAATTTTTTTTTATGGCGTTTCTCTTTTTATAAACGAAAATGGTTGTCTGGAGACTGTGTGATGCTGGTGTAAGGGTGCGTGAGGGTGTGAGGGTGGTGTAAGGGTGTGTGAGGGTGTGAGGGTGGTGTAAGGGTGTGTGAGGGTGTGAGGGTGGTGTAAGGGTGTGTGAGGGTGTGAGGGTGGTGTAAGGGTGTGTGAGGGTGTGATGGTGGTGTAAGGGTGCGTGAGGGTGTGATGGTGGTGTAAGGGTGTGTGAGGGTGTGAGGGTGTGAAGGTGTGAGGGGATGTGAATGTGTGAGTCTGATGTGAGGGAGTGAGGGTGGTGTGAGGGAGTAAGGGTGTTGTGGTGGTGTGAGGGGTGAGGGGTGATGTGGGGAGAGGGTGGTGTGAGGGAATGAGGGTGGTGGAAGGGGAGGAGGGTGGTGAGGGTGTAAGGGAGGTGAGGAGTGAGTGGTGAGGTGGTGTGAGGGAGTGAGGGGTGGTGTGAAGGAGGAGGGTGTGGAAGGGAGGAGAGGGTGTGAGGGGAGGTGGGGAGGGAGTGAGAGTGTGAGGGGTGGTGTGAGGGGAGTGAGGGTGGTGTGAGGGTGGTATGAGGGGAGGAGGGGGTGATGTGGGAGGGGTGGTGAGGGAGAGGGTGGTGTGAGGGAATGAGGGTGGTGAGGGAATGAGGGTGGTGGGAGGGAGTGAGGGTGGATGTGAGGGTGGTGTGGGAGGGAGGGGTGGTGTGGGGTGGGTGAGGGGAGTGAGGGTGGTTGAGGGGAGGAGGTGGTGTGAGGGTGTGGAGGGAGGGGGGGTGGTGGAGGGTGGTGTGAGGGTGGTATGAGGGAAGTGAGGGTGATGTGAGGGGTGGTGTGAGGGAATGAGGGTGGTGTGGGGAATGAGGGTGGTGGGGAGGGAATGAGGGTGGTGTGGGAGGGAATGAGGGGTGGTGTGAGGGAGGGAGGGTGTGAGGGGTGTGTGAGTGGTGGAGGTGTGAGGGAGGGAGGGGTGGTGAGGGGAGTGAGGGTGGTGTGAGGGTGGGTAGGAGGAAGTGAGGGTGGGTGTGAGGGTGTGGGAGGGAGTGAGGGTGGTGTGGGGGTGGTGTGAGGGAGTGAGGGGTGGTGGAGGGGTGGTATGAGGAAGTGAGGGTGATGTGAGGGTGGTGAGGGAATGAGGGTGGTGTGAGGGAATGAGGGGTGGGGAGGGAGGAGGGTGGTGAGGGTGTGTGTGAGTGTGGGGTGAGGGAGTGAGGGGTGGGTGGGGAGGGGTGGGATGAGGGAGGGGTGGTGTGGAGGGTGTGTGGAGGGAGGAGGGTGGTGTGAGGGTGGTGGAGGGAGGAGGGGTGGTGTGAGGGTGGTATGAGGAAGTGAGGGATGTGAGGGGTGGTGGAGGGGAGGGAGGGTGGTGTGAGGGAATGAGGTGGTGTGAGGGAATGAGGGTGGTATGGAGGAAGTGAGGGTGATGTGAGGGGTGGTGAGGGAGTGAGGGTGGTGTGAGGGAATGAGGGTGGTGTGAAGGAATGAGGGTGGTGTGAAGGTATGAGGGTGGTGTGAGGGTGTGAGGGAGGTGTGAGGGAGTGAAAGTAGTTTGAGGCTGGTGTGAAAGTGCAAAGCTGGTGTGGGTGTGAGGCAGGATGTTTGTATTTTAGTTTTGTTTCGAGTAGCGGTCAGTAGGTGTTAGGAAGATGGGGACGAGACCCAGTCAGATCCACCTCCTCCTGCTTCAGCCTTGTATCCCAGGATGAAAGTCATGTTCCTCCTAAGCCACAACACCACCTTCAAGCCCTCATCCTTCTCTCTCTTTTTATAGACGAAAACAAAACAGGTGAAAAGTCAAAACCACATTATCTTTTCATTTATTTTATTATATTGTATTTCAATACAAAGTTAGTCTATTTTTATAATACAATTTCATAGATAATTTACATATAAACTAATTTCATAATGCGTACAGAAAGATGCCTTCTGTATCACCTGAATTGCTTTGTCAGCAATAGTAAGTAAATAATGAAAACTTAACACTGGAACTCTGAATATGTTGGTTTGACACTTTGTCCTCCGAGCTCTTGTTTAGCACTGGTCTACTAAACATAAGACATGAGGCTAATATACAGAATTAAAAACTGTTGATGATAAAGGAAGTTTATCATTAACATGATCCTCTTCTGTCCACATGAAGGATCTTTATTGTGTATTATTGCTTTGTATTTCAGGTAAGGTAAAGTAGATGTTTTAAAGCATGCAAAAATACTTATTAATGTATAAATACAAAATAATATGAGGAAGGATGATGGAAGTGAAGTAAACACAATATATAAACTTAATAATTTGAAGACCATTTCATGATACCATTGATGTTATGTTATCACTGCACTTCAACAACTAAGGTCTTTAAGCATGTATCAATGTTAGTAATTACACCAGTCCATCAACTATTAAACTTACAATGGGTGTAACTTTCTGTCAACAGCCTTGTGTTACAGTGTTAAGTCTTCAGCATTTTACCACAGGTGATATCACAGATGCAGTGTGTATATATACTATCAACACTTGTTCCTACCCTCTCTCTACAGGTCGCCGCTCATCAATACTGTATTATCACTCTATCTCTAGTTAATGTTTAGTATAAAAACAAACTTTATGCACTACGGACATAAATTATCAATAGTGGAAGAAATGTTGTTAAATGCACATATGTACTGTACAGCGTTGAGGAGCATGTTGACTCGCGTGCCAACACATTATCCCTGTATGTTGTGTCACACATTCTGTCGCTTGTCTGGTAACACCAACTAACGCTGAATTTCATTATTATTATCACGTTGAATGCTCTTTATACTGCAGCAAAATATATGCACAAAAAGCAATTTTCAGGAATTTTATATATCACAAAAGAGGCCACTAGATTTTGTAGTACATTTGGTATTTTAATATTACTGTGCATTTAAAATAAAAACAACAAGTAAGCCTATTAAAAGAAAATTGCATGTTAATAGGTGTCCAAATGAAAATCATTTGACTCCACAGTCCTCATTGAAATGTAGAAAATGACTTCACTTGGTTAAAATACTCTAAAATTTTACAATGAAATTAAAAAACAAATACGTATAGAAGACCTCATGGCCATGACTGGGGGGGGGGGAGATGCATGTAACTAGATACATGCAATCTTACTGACACTTTTATATACTGTACTGTAATCCTACAGAAGCTGAGTTACTAGTCTGATGCATCATTTAGAATGGAGAGTAAAGTACTGTACTTAGCAACATCACATTCTGGCACAGGGATATACAATAAACGTAAAAACTCAGATTTCTCCAGAACAATAGAGGATGATATCTACATGTTTGTGTCTCACTAAGACATCTATAAGCTGATGAATAACATGCATTTATCAGATCCTGATATCCCCAGAAATGAACAGTTATCAATTATGTATTTGTTTTTGCATGATCAAGGCATTAGTTACTGGACTGATTGTGCAAAAGATTGGTGCAGGAGGGATGAATTAATATGCTTGTTGTTATACTGTACTAGATTGTGTGGCCACCAGCAGGTTAATTTGCCAGCCAGGGATGAGTCACATATTAGGAAGGAACAATCTCCAAGGACCTCGTGAGAATCCATAAACAATAAGCAAATTAATAAGAAGATCCCATGATTATCGTCCCAGAAAAACCAGACATAAACTTTGGTGTCAGGTTTATCATGGAATAAAATATTTTCTACTATTTGTTATTCTTATTATGATGTCTAATACTGAACTATGGGACTCTGGTTCCCGCTGTACAGCCATAATATCCAGCAAGTTTTTCCATGTTTTTTATTAAACATAAATTCATTTGCTGAAAATGACGGTGCACACACAACAGTACCGAACCCACAGTGTGAGTAATGCAACAGAACAAAACAATAATTTACCATCTTACTATGTACAGTCACCTGCACTTATACTTGCTACTACAGTGGCTGGTGTGTTTTGTGAGATGTGGCATCTGCGGATTTGTTTACGTCGTATTAAGACTTCTGGAATGGCCTTAAGGAACCTCATAATAATAGCCACACTAAGCATGCTAGAGAAGCATTCTACAGAGTTGCCACATCTCACAGAATGCACCAGCCACTGTACCAGGTACAAGTGCAGGCAGACTGTACCTACATCAACAGGTAGATTACCATACTTGTTGACTACAGTATCAGGAGTTGCAACAACTTTGTACTTTACAGATTTATTTTCCTAATAATGCATTTGGACTAGTTTGGCACCCAATGATTTCATGACTTGTATATGAAATATTAATAATCTTTACTAAATGTCTGTGTAATATATCAGCTTTAGCATTATTTTCAACAATATGAGATTACTGTTTCTAGATTTATGAGTCCACAATAAAGAAAATTAATATTGTCTTTCCACAGTAAAAAATAATGATGTAAAAGTTGAGAAACAAATGATGTCTATCACCCTTCACTTCACTTGCTTCACAGCCTGCACCACACTTAGCCTACCTGGGTCACACTCAGCCTACCTGGGCCACACTCAACCTACCTGGGCCATACTCAACCTACCTGGGCCTCACTCAGTCTACCTGGGCCACACTCAGCCTACCTGGGCCACACTCAGTAAATAATCCACAAAAGGATTCACAGAAAAATATACTGAGGATGTTCATTATATGGGGGTACTATAAGTTTGTGTTTGCTGAAGGTAAATACTGTAGCCTGTCATGAAGCAAAATTTGTACATTATACACGAGAAAAATCCATGACTTTTATTGTATTCCTTTGCTTGATAAATACTGTAGCACACTGCAAATTTCCAACCTTTCAGTGAGAAACTTTGATTTGCATATGTTGAGGGACCTCATTTAGATTAGGCACCCCAATTTAGTTTACTTGGGTCATTAATCCTTAACTGGCAGCTAAAGATTCCCAACCTTATTAGGGTGTTTAACCATCATGTGAGATAAGCGAAGGTGTCTGGTCTTCACAATAGCCCTGTTAAATAACTTCATGTTCCTGTGTTGATCTCTACTCCATAACATTCCAAACTCTCATTAGCTGCTTTTCATCTCACTTAATTATTTATCCCATAAGAATTTTTTCAGTACAGGTTTTCAGTTATAGGATTTTCCCTGATTATTTCCTGAGGTTCTGTGCTTGTGTAACCTGTCAGCAGTCCATCACACACTCTGGGCAACAAAGATTCTCCAAAACTAAAGTCAGAAACAGTGTTGACCGTTCTCGATGGTAATGTAGCAGACCAAAAAATATATATAAGGCCATTTCTGATTTTTGATTTTTAGTTTTGATAATACATCTTTTTTTTTTATCTGAATTAAGAGATAATTTTGTCTTCAAGGATGCTGTAAATTTTTTCTTGATACCGTAAGACTTTAGTAACTAAAACATTATTCATTCCTTATTCTTTAAAGTTTTGAATCCCAATATTATACAATACAGTATAAGTAATTAAGATGAAATTTTAACTCAATAGAAAAAATAAAAAGGGCCAGTTTTCTTGTAGTCACTTGTGCGCCTCTGATTTTCTACACGTTGTCTGTGACCTCCAACATATTTATTACGTTTACAGTAATTAAACTGTACATTTGTCTTTCATCTACATCAGTTAAGAACTTTCATACATCCTAAGTCATTGTAATCTTGGAATGGTGAAGGAGGAGGCACTCAAACTGTAGCTGTAAACCATATGTCAATGAATGGAATATTATTATAAAAAAGTTTTACAATTGAGGCACTCAGGGTAAGAGGGGCCAATCAACCAACTTAAACCTGTCTGATGCAACATAATCTGAAAGTGCACTAAATTTCCTATTGTATTTGAGTCCATTTTCATTCAAAACAAAATCATTCATATCTCGAAACATTATTTTGGTTGACCTTCCCTTTTTACCCTCATAGCCTCAATTTAACAATGAGAGAAGTAACAAAAGTTAAAAATTATATGTATTTAACCGATCTATGTCCTCAGAGTGATGTCTCACTGGCAGTCGAGATCATTTGTGTGTGTCTGATGCTCGGGTCATCCTCTAACGTGGAGATCTTCTGCTTCAGAACTCGAACCTGAAAGAAAAATGCATAAATTAAATTTAAATGAGAAGCTTTTTCAATAAGTTTACTGGAATGAAGTATAAGATTTTTGGTTTAAGTACCTAGGCTGTTTTCCAACCCCATACTTAAAATGTCATTATTTCTACTTTATATACTGTACCTCAAAAGTAACATCATCAGTAAACTATTTTGACTCAACTTCTCATCCAACACTTAATCTCTCCATCTTTTGTTCTCATGAGTTATCAGTTTTCTCAACTCCTTTAAATCTTATAATAACCATGTACTGTACTCAATCATTAAATAGTCTTGGTCTCCCAAGCTTCTAAGTACGTATACCACATACAGGTGTACTGATGTTCTAAGAAAACCACATACAGGTGTACTGATGTTCTAAGTACACCACATACAAGTGTACTGCAATTAAAAAATCCCACAAGCTCTTCAAACTGTTTAATCCGTTCACATATAAAACCGAGTACTGTATCTGCCATCCAAAAGATTCAGATATGCCCTGTGGCACTATCTCTCACCTGGTGGGCATGTCTGTCAACCATACCCATCATTTGCTGCTCCATTCTCTTCACCTTTAAGGCATACTTCTTTTTAAGTCGATCCACGGCCGTCAACAATGCTCTATGGAAAGGAATTCCAGAGGTTAGGTGGGAAGATAAGATGCTTTACTTTGTAGTGCGAGAATGTGAGTGAAAATTATCATCAAGATGAATGAAAGTGTAGCTATCCTTAATAACTGTATAAAAGACTTACCCATTAGCCTTTTTAAGATCATTGATGAACTCTTGTGACTGCATGTGTCTCGCCTCAGAGTTCTTGGTCACCTTCTCCAGGGTGGTGACCAGGTCCTGCACTCGACCCTTCAGCTGCCTCTCTCGTCTAAGAGCCTCCATGATCTCCGGGGAAGACGAGTCAACGCCGCTGTCCCCGTCTCCTTCACCATCCTGAGGTTATACACAAACAACAAATTAACTTAAAATCAATTATAACAATTTCTTAACCCTTAAAAGGCAACCATCATCAATGAACGTTTTATGTTTCATGTGTTCCACTTTGGTTCATAAGAAGGCAGAGTGGGGGGAATCCTTAGCTGCAGTTAAGGGATAAGTGTGGTATGCTAGTTGAAGACATTGTCACAATCTATGCAAATTAAATGGAAAAATGAAGATAATGGCACTAGACTAAAGTAAACCACTTAATCAATTAAAACTTAAATCAAAATATATGGTAATAAAGAAAAACAGATATGAAAGTTAATCCTCAATAAATGACTGCAGTTAAAAGATGGAGACTGAAGCTGTGACAGTCACAATACTACAGTGTAAGAGCTCACCTGGTTGCCTCCTGGGCGGCCCTGTGCCAGCTCTGACTTAAGGTGGTCAATAGTAGCACAGTAAGCTGCTGCCTGAGCCTCACACGTACCTACTCTCAGCTCCAGACCTGCCTTCTCTCTCTCCATAAGATAAACCTGAAAAAGCATGATTTATGAAATTAATTTTGCAACTAAGAACAAGAAATACTCAATGATCATGTAATCCTTTTAATATTCAGTTTCATAATCAGATAAATTCCCCTAAATATTATAAAAAAAACACTGAAACTATATTAGAAAATAAAATACTGTACTGTAGCTAATTTACATCTTTGTTCATAAAACATGTAAATCTATCTGTAGTATTTTGAATAAATGTGAAAATTTTAGAAAAAACAAGTGAGGGAAGGCAAAAGGAAGGTGAAGCCTGCTAGAGAGCGGAAACAGAGCCCTCTGTCTTGTAACACCAGGAGAGGCAGACCATTACCCTGAATACATGATCAGTTTAACATTACCAAGGTGAAACATACATAACATACTGAAGAAGTGGTTGTGAGGATTGAAAGAGTAGGAAGTGAGAGAAAAGGATTGAATCACTCCATAAACACTTGATCATAGCCTTAGTTTATGACACCATGAAGCTCCATACTGACTGAGAGACCCATATTAATTCACAGTACTGTATACATAACCACTACCACTATGTAATGTGAATGTGTGGTCTCTTCCAGCCTCTCTCAACATCATTTCTTACGACCTCTCACCATGTCATTCTTAGACTACCACTATTTCTCCTCTCTATATTGAAGTCTTGTGTATTTCTTGACCCAAATTGAGCTCTCCCATACTTTCCACATGCCCAAAGTACAGTATCTCAAACTCCTTCAACACAACACTTCACCCACACTTAATACTCAGCCACTAGCTTAAAATAAAAAAGAATACCTTAATAACTAAAAGAAAATCTAATTTATAAACTTTGTAATGGAATCTAAGGCATACATGATGTACAGTACTATATGGGAGAGTGTTTTCCGTTATATCGAGTTCGTTAAATGTGAAAACTTCCATAAAACAGAGTGAGCATTTGGGAGAGTACAGTCTATTATATCGAGGTTCATCAAATGTGCAAACTCCAAATAACAGACTATACCCAGTAGATTGAAGTCCGTTAAATGGAGGTTTTTACTGTAGTGACCTCACCTGGGCTCTGAGTTCAGCACGGTCTTCTCTCATTGCTGTCAACTCCTGCATCAACACAGCATTCTCAAGGTCGAGTTTGTGTGCATCGTTAAGGCTGAGAGGATAGTGTTTGGTGAGGGGGTCGACATGGAGGGACTCAAGAGGGAGGAGGGAGGCTGACACATGCCCTCGCTCGTCTTTGAGTCTGTTGATGGTCTCGCGAAGTCGGTGTTCCTCTCCTCGACTCACATCAGAATCAACACCGCTGGATGTGGATGAACCCGTACTGTTGATAAAGAAGAGTTATTAGCTTACTTGTTTATAATACAGTAAATATAATAATAGATAAATACTGTACAGTAGAACAGATCATTATTTTACTTCTTTATAATAAATAGAAAAATAAAACAGTTATTAGTTTACTTGCTTGTGATAAATATATAAATAGAACAGTTATCAGTTTACCTGTTTATAATTAATAAATAAATAAATAAATAAATAGAACAGTGAACAAATTTACTTGTTTATAATAATTACAGTACAGTAATGTGTCTAATGTACTTAATTATGATCTTGAACAATGGACACACCAGTAGCATCTTTTTTTTGTGGTTATCATTACCATCATAATTAATTTTGGCAACTGTTGGGTAAAATCAAAATGGGATGTCTCCTTTCCCTCTTCCACTGCACACCCAGGGTGCCAGCCCAGAAAATGCAGCTGAGACCAGAGGATGGGCAGAAGCTCTGGTACACTGTACAGTACATTATAATTCATGCCACCAGCAACATGGACTTACCTAGTATTATGGATGATACCAGCTTCATTCCAGCTCTCTGTGTCCGACTGTTGACACTCTGATCGGTCCAGGCGAGACAGCAGGTGACGAGCAACATTTTCTGTTGATCTTCGTTGTTCCTGTGCTCTCTTTACTAGAGCCACAAGATCATCCTGGTCAGCATAGCTCCAGCCCCCCCCTGCACCACCACCAGTCCGCTTCACCCCCACACCTGCGGCTTTACAGCTCGCTAATAATAAACCAATTTCACTTTCTAGTAGCGCTACCAACACTTCGTAAGCTTCTATAGTCTGGTCTAAATTTGTCACTGCTAACTGTAATGCTATAGAGTTTGATTCATATTTACCCATCAGGATACTTAAATGATCACAGTGTGATTTAGATTCACTCAGAGTAATGGCCAACACATCATTCTGTGCTTTCAAATGGTCCACTTTTGCATGAAGTCTTTCTATCTCCACTTCAAACTCCTTTAACCTCTCATGAGGGGCTAATGCTCCCCCAGCAGTAGCCAGAGCATGGTACAGCTCCTGGGCATCACTGTCTTCCTGTACACCTGCGACTAACTGCTCGGCAACAGCGGTTGTCCACACACCCACACTACTCAGATCTGTCCCTGTTATTCTCAGGTCTCCACTCTCAGCCTGGAACCAAACAAAACATTATAAGGTCACCATCCTTATAAACATGGATCACATGAATATATATTAGCACCACAGTTTATTTTACTACCAGAGGGGGTTCGGTTAGCATCATAGTGGTGTAATAAGCTGGGGGTAACCATGAGGTTAAGTATATTACAGTGTTTTATAAAACAAGGTTTGAACACTTTATTAGTAACTTACTTTCTTTAGTCTGACCCGTTCAGCTAATCTACATATAATAGGTGTGTCGTCCTGGGTGGGTGTGTGGCTCTCTGGTGGCTGTGGTGAGGGTGAGGGAGAGACAGTGCCCGGTCCTGACCCGCTGAGCCCTGACCCCCCAGAGGTGACGGTGAAGGCCGCCAGAGGTGTTCCCCGTAGCCCTCGTACTGTCACTGCATCAGCAACTTGCAGGGCTTGAGGAGGCATAGCGGGCTGCATCCTCTGATATTCCCGTAACTGTAACAGATATACAGTACAGTATATGGTGTCTTTAATAAAAATATTGTCATAGTTCCAAATGTACACTAACTGGCTGTACAGGAATAAGGATAATAATCATATTGTACACAAATTAATGGATACAATAGTTTTTACTATATTGTATTTGTAATTTTCCTTTAAAGATAATTAGGTACTGCAGTTTGTTAATGTAAGTCCAGAATTTCTTGATGCGTGTATAAAACTATTTCATCAGTGTATGTTTGTTCACACACAAACACACAGTAACTTTCTCTTACCTTCTTACAGAGAGCATCTCTCTCCTGGGTGAGAGCAGTGATGGTACTACGGTGTGTGGAGGTGTTGTGCTGGGCAAGGGCCAGAGCATGTTGCAGGCTATTATTTTCCTCCCGCAGGACCTTGAGTTCCTCCTCCAGGGCACTGAGGGACCGGCAAGCATCGTCCCCCGACGCCCGGCAGCTGCTGGTGTCTCCGCTCCCTCGTGGACACTCACTCACATCAAGGTCTGCTATTCCTTCACCAGCCTGTTGTGATATGGTCCTGTCAGCTGCTCTCATCTATTGTAATGGCACAGTCTTACTATGTACAGTATACAGTACAGTATATATCTATACAGCACAGGTGAAAAATAGAAAAAACTTATGTGACAAAACACTGAAAATAAAATAAATGTTATCCCTTTCTAAACTGGATAATAAATAAAAATTGTTCATAAAATATCTACTGTAGTACTGTTCAGGATAATCTTGTATTTAATGGGTGTAAAATCATAAGTGCCTCTTGGCTTCCATCATAATTAAGCACATACATAAACTAACTCTATTATATCTTTCAGTAATGTCTCTTGGTCTTAGCTTGAACCACCCTACTATAGCATGATCTGTACAGTATACTAACAAACAAGTCAATAATTGGATCACCAGAAGAATCTCCACCCCAGCTTATTTCACCTAAAGAGTAACCACCCTAATGCTATTTTTAGGGATGAGATTAGGTTAGGTCAGGGAAGGTTTTAGTAGCTTTAGTGTGGTTAATCTTGGTGAAATTATCCTGGGTGGGTATTCTTCAGGTGATCTCAATAATCCATACATAAACACAATCTTCATAACTTTCAAAGGAATTTTTCTACCTTATCAAAATCCACCAAACCTAGATTATGTAAAGAGGTCACTCAGAACAGTACCTCGACAGCCCGGTCATCTATGTCACAGGAGGTGGAGGCGTCAGTGGCCGTGTGGTCTCGTGGCTCCTCCATGTGTTCCTCTGACTCCACGGCTTCACTCGTTGAATCTTCTGCGGGAGATGAGTTCATTACATATATATTATATATTTACTAATTTATGGGATCACATGAAGAATCTCCACTCTAGCTTACAAACAAAAAATTTAAGCATTATAGAACATCTTTCACTCACCCGTAGCATCGTGTTGGTCATGTGAGAGTTCTGACTGGGAATATTCCTCGACCACCACTTCCTCTTCAGCTATGACATTGATCCTCTGCTGGTCAATCTTACGAGACAGTTCAGCGATGACGGAGTGAAGCTCAGTGAGTCGCTCCTCGTACCGCTGAGCTTGTGAGTCGAGACGGTCTTCACTTTCACGCTCTACCCTCACCTTCTCCAGCTGTGGTATATAGGAGGTCACCTTTAGGTTAAATACAAGGATAATTGGCTGGTAATTTGCCCTTCAATAAGGACAGAAACAGCTCTCAATGGTTTAAGTTCCCATTTATGGTTTGTTCGAAGGTAATTATGACCCTTATTTGAGGCCCCAAATAAAAAAAGTGAGGGAATGAATTGCACACTCAAATTTAGCCTTGAAAATACTTCCATTAGATGATCCAGACAGCAGTGATGAGACACGAACATGCATGTGTTAATATCGCATTCATTTTCACCTTGAATATCTGTGACAAATTGACTCCCTAAATACCAGCCGGAGCATATTGCTAATTATTACAGCATTTCATTCTTAAGAGAGAAAGAACCTTACTTTTGGACGAGTTAATGATGATATCCAACCAAGGATTGGCCAATTAAAGCATAATTCAATACATTTGGTTCTTTATTTACATGCAACACAAAATCTCCCCTTAAAGAAATGAAAGAGATACTAAGAGGAGGCAGTATATGTGGGATAGACAGTATGTGGGAGAGACAGTATGTGGGGGAGACAGTATGTGGGGGAGACAGACAATGTGAGGGAATGACAATGTGAGGGAATGGCAGTGTGAGGGAGAGACAGTGTAAGTGCGAGGCAATACAAGAAAGAGGTAGAATAAGGGAAAAGGAAGGAGAGAGAATGCAGTACAGGAGACCAACCTGGGTGACGGTGAGGGTCTTCTCCAACATGTCTCGCTCCTGGGAGATCATCTTAAGCCTGGAGGACAGCTCCATGATCTCCCCCTTGAGGGACCCCAGCGCCGCCAGGTGTAGCTGTCAATAACAACAACAACAATGATGATCATATGAGACTCTTGTAACTCTTGTACAATTAATACAGCCTTCAGCGTTAGAATGAAGACATGTTGTAACATATCTTAGTTATTTATGGGTTATTTTTTAAAAATCTTAATAAATAGAATGATATTTGGGTAACTACACAAATCAAGTACACTAAAGTAAAATAATTGCAATATCTTATACCCACAATAAAAAATAAAGAAGTCTTCCATCCAAAGTTTTCATTTTCTTTCATAGTATAAAAGAAAACGAATGTAAATAAACAGTTCATAGTGAATTTAAATGAAAGATTTAAATGGTTTTGAATGAGATTAAATACGTTAAGTAAATGACTTTGAATGAGTTTAAAGTTGTTACCGTAGTATTAAACAGACCAACTGAGTAACACTTTAATTAAATGGCTTACAATAACAATAACAAATAATATAATAATAAAGGTTGTTTGTGCGGGAAACGTCATAGAAGAAAAGTGACTTAGAATTGTGTGAACTGTTGATTGAGAAGATAAAATTCTCGAGATTCAGTTGATAATAATAATAATAAAAATAATAATAATAATAATAATAATAATAATAATAATAATAATAATAATAATAATAATAATAAAAGTATATAGAATAATTATCATGCAGCTAATTCAGGACAAAGTTTTATTAAAGAAATTAACCTCAGCTATAAAGTTTTACTAACAAAATGTTTATATAATGGAAATTTAGTAAATTTTTGCAAAAATAATTCTACGTTTCAGATTATTAGCAAAAATAGATTAAAATAGATGGATTTCAAGATTATTAGGAACGCTACTTAGTTTTTTGGATTGGTCAAGTTAAATTAGGATATGTAAGGTAAGGTAAGGTAAGGTAAGGTAAGGTAAGGTAAGGTAAGGTAAGGTAAGGTAAGGTAAGGTAAGGTTAGGTTAGGTTACGTTAGGTTAGGTTACGTTAGATTAGATTAGATTAGATTAGGTGAGGTAAGGTTAGATTAGATTATATTAGGTTTGGTTAGATTACATTAAGATTAGTTAGGTTTGGTTACAAAAATTAAGTTGGAATTTGCTAGGATAGGTTAGATTAGATTAGTATAAGTTAAGATTTGGGTTGGCTGTTAGGTTCCACTCCTGTTTCACAGTTCATAAGTGATGTGTTTCTATTCCATTATCATTTTTAGGCAAAGAAAATCACTGTTACCATGCACTTGCACATTTTATTAACTAGACAACATACCAAATTTATGGATAAGCCTTAATTATATTTGTAAAATAACAGGAGGTAGAATGTTAGCTTAGCTATTCGTAATAACTAATTTTACACATGCAGGGGGTGCAAGGGGGGTAGGTGCTCTTGCACCCTCAAAAAATTTTTGAAATGTTCTTTTTCTCGCAATTCGAGTTCACAATATGCGTATGATATAACAAGTTTTTAAGTGAACTGTTTGTTCCTTAACGTTTCCACAATGGTCACTTGTGGTAAGTCGGCACTTTTGACAATGACTCTTGAGTGTGAGAATTAAGCTAGGATTCCATTCACGCGTTAGCGGTAGCGCCAAAAATAGATCATATTGAAATGTACACGGTTGTTTCCACTGGCACAGTTGCGTTAGCGTTATGCATTTGCGGTACATTTAAATCGCTCCCTGTAGCGATTGAGAACGCAACCCAGCAATATGCATCGAGAAACAAATTAAGATATGACCAGGAATAATAGGTCATTTAGTATAGCCTAATGACTGGTGTGTTCCTTCCCATGCATTATGGGTGTTCAGATCTCCCCCCTGTAAAGGTTCTTCACACACATTCGACAATTTAGTTAGTGTGATAATATGGGCGTAAAGGCAGCTGTGAAATTAAGAGATTATAGCCAGGAATAATAGGTCACTCAGTATAGCCCTACAAGTGACAGATGAGGTATTATAGATTTTCAGACTTCTCCCCTTCACATGGTTCTCCCAAACACCAGACAATGTATTTAGTCGTCAGTGTGATAATAAGTCAATCCAATAATAACCAAACATTTTCATTTCTTATCACCAGGGTATTGTAGGGTCCGTATTTGGTCCGATTCAGCAGCAAATCAACCTGTTCATGTAAGGCTCGTAGCTTCGATGACAAGGAGCCATCTTTCCTGTCCTGTTCCAGCTAACAGAAAGACAGCTGCATGCATATGGAAACAGGGGTGTCCGTTTTTCAGGACGATTTAACCCAAACGCATGCTGCAAATGCATACCGCAAACACTTCTTTGCTCAATATAGAAGTAATAAAGAACGACGCTGCATCAAATACATTGTATAGCTCTACCTCCTCTAAAACATAATTATAGTGGGTGCCACAGAAACCACCGGAACTCCCATTTACCCTTCTCATTCAGACTTGACTTAAATAATCCATAGTTGGTAGTAGGCGTCGTAGCCAGGAGGAGGAGGAGGAGGGTAAAGAAACGATTAAAAATGCCAGTTCTTTGAAATCCTCGACGTGAGCACACGCTGAGGCCTTTGTAGTCATATTTATAATGCATCACCCAAGGGCATAAAAGTGAGAAATTTGACGCTCGACCTCCTCGCGCCCTCGTCAAGAAGTAATTAAATCGCTAGAGTTAGGGTTCTGTTTTAACCGTTATCTATATGAGAGAGAGAGAGAGAGAGCGTGAACGAGGCGATGAATAAAAAGTTAAAGTTTAAGAGTTGGTTCTGAAAAAGAGGTTTCCCGAGGAGGGGAGGTCGAGGAGGAAACTGTTTTGTAGTGGCTCAACCTCACGGCTCCACCACCACTCATTCAGTCGCTGGTCACACACTCATACAGTGTGTGTGTGTGTGCTTTAGATGGTTACTTATTCATGTATTACATTATGCAAACGTATATTTGTCATCAACAAACTTTACTGGGAGCAGAACTTCTTATTAAGCTTCGACAATAGTTAGTTAACAATGTTTCTGGAGTCTATCCTTACTTTGGAGTGAATATTAGTGCAGAAACATTGAATAGTCTCTGACAGCGGCAGATGCAGGCAGCGGTGTGGTGGATTCATTCGTACAGACAATTCCGGCTATGAAAATATATCCTCGGTTCTATATCAACTCTTAATATTTTTTCTTAAGTGTATCTCACATTCATATCTAATAGCGTATTTCTTCCCTAATTGGACTTAAAAAGAATATTTGTGAAGCATTTTTCGTGTTACAAATTATATTGTTAATTCATCAATGTTTTAAATAATGTTGATGTAAATTCCTCATTGTTATTAACTGTAGTATTGCAAGAGTTATGGTACAACACGTATAGCGAGATATTAAAAACAATCATGAAATGGTTACAGCAAGACCCGCGTCCAGCTGTTGTTATTTTTGGCAGCATAACCAGCCCTTCGCCAGCCTTTCCTGCCTGACTGAATGAGTTAATTATTTCTCCACCATTTCCTCACCGGACTACAGACATTCTCTTGCCTCAGTTACTCTGATTCATATGGATGGAGTAACTTGCCCTTTATGGTGTATCAGGTTTTCTTTGATAATAATCATATGCAGCTGCGCCTTTTATCTGATTTATTACTCTCATGCGAGATATTTCTACGCTGTTCATGGTGTAATAAATCGATACAATGATGTTATTACTGCTTCAATAACTAAGGTCCTTAAATGACCTCCGCACTCGCGAGATCAATTCGGCCCTTGTACACAGGCTGTTGGAATACTCAGCTACTTTCAAACAAATATGTAATGGTAGTCTGGTCACCCCTAAGATAAACAACCCCTTTCTACAACACGAATACATACACATAATACTTTTGTCACCTTGTAGAACATTAACAATAACAATTTCAGAAAGTTCCTCACCGGGCGATATAAAAGTTCCATTGCCTTGGTTCAGCCAGTAATAAGAAGATACGTGTCATGCTGTCAAGACCTGCCCTCACCACACCACTTGATCTACTTTACAAATACAGATAAAATAATGACTGTGTCCTGGGCAGTACACAGTCATTATCACTTACCGTCACTCTCAAATGTCTTCTACCCTTCTCTCTCTCTATGTCTCTCCCTCACATCTCACGATGCCTGTTTCCTTCCCCCACACCTCATGACTTTCCCTCCCTCTCACAACTCAGGATTCTCCCTCACACCCCTCCCATCCCTCATCTCACATCTGAACCACAACTATGTCTCTCACCTCCCTGTCTCCACCTCCTTCACTCACCTCCTTCTGGGTACAGGCGTGTGTAGCATCGATACCATGAGAGTAGAACTGTTGAGGGGAGGCTGTTCCCTGAGCCGCCCCTGAGGGTTCCCGCTGCACCGCCCCTGACGACATCCTTCCCACTGTAGGGTCACACTGTGTGACCTGGACACTGCTAGGCCACTGGACGGGGGAGGATTCTTAGGCCAGGGCAACCCACCCGGCGCAGGTCACTAGCACTCATTCTTAGGTAAAAGGTTACCTGACTGCTTCCATAACTGCTTCCTCACTCATCCTTGCACAACAAAATGATGTTCTGTCATCCCATATAGTATTTATTACCTGATCGTCACATAGTTGTTCACAGTTCATAGTTACCAGCGACACTGTAAGTACTGAGGCGAAGTTGGTGAGATGTGTTTCGTTATATCACTATTAAGGTTTAAGCCCGGCATGTCTAGGAGGGAGTGAGGGTGGTGGTGACGGTGGTGATGACGGTGGTGATGTGGTGGGTGGAGGTGGTGCTATAGGTGATAGGTGAGAGAGGAGGTAGGTGGTAGGTGATAGGAGAAGTAGGAGGTAGGTGGTAGGTGATAGGAGAGGGAGGAGGTAGGTGGCACTCCCGCTGGGTTACTCCTCACGTTCTCGTCTGCTCTACACGTCCACATAAACACCATTTTCTTTTCAATTCCACATCTCGTTTAGTTTATTCTTACGACATCGTTTTCTGAAGAGCGTGATATAATTACCACACTCAACACTACACACAGACAAACTTAACTTAGCCCTTTGTAGTTCACTGTTTTA